TCCAGGTGGCGTACGTGTTCTGAGTGACGTTCTGACACAGGTGGGCAAGGCTGGATTCAGTTAGCTTTTCCCAGCAGGCACTAAACTCCACGCTGAGAGAAGCCGGTGACTCCGGCGTTCGCCTCTGTTCTTGTGTGGTGGAGTGGCTGTCGCCGACACGGCGGCCCTGTGAGTTCTGTGCAGGGTGGCTCGGCCGTGGGAAGTGCAGGTCCTGGCCCTGTGTGGCTTTGGTCTGGCTGCAGAGGGGATCTCAGACCCCGGGGCCGCGTCTCCACTACATGTCCCTTTCGAGGGGCACGCCGCAGACACGGTTTCTTGGACGGAAGCCATCTCGCTAGCCGTGGAACGTCAGCGTCCGCCCTTCGGGAAGTCACGGGGTGGGAGGTTCTGGGAGCTTGGGGAGCAGCGCTGGTGCCCGTGGCTCTGCACAGAGCAGGCCTGGGGGACAGAAACCACCGCTGGAGACCCGTACGGCACTGCCTTCCCTGGCCGCGCGTGGTGGCAGAAACAGGTGCCACCTTGGCAAATGCTTTGCTTTTGATCCTAGGCCAGGGAGCCGGGAACGTACACACTCAGGCAGCTGTGTGCCGTGCTGGGCCGCGTGTGGTTTGTCCTCCCTCACATTTACCCGCTGGTGCAGTACGACGTGTACTCCCAGGAGCCCCAGCTGCACGTGGAGCCGCTGGCGGGTGAGTGAGCCTGCGGCGGCGTGGGCGGGGTCCTGCTGCGCCCCTGCTGGGGCGTCTGCACTTCTTAGCCGCGTGTGCCTTGGAGAGAGCTGGGCAGCACAAGACCGGTGTTGCTGGGGCGCCTGACTCTGCAGTCCTGCCGCGACTCACTCCCGGGTGGACGTGGAGTCCACTGTGGGGTTTAGTGAGCACGCAGAACCGCTGCACAGGGTCCAGGGCCAGGCCAGGGGCTGACGGGGTCCTGTGGGCTGCACGAGCCTGGCCTTGGGCGTGGCCCCTGAGATGTGGACGCTGCTGTCCTCCTAGATAAGGCCGAAGGCCCGTGTGCTCCCTCGCTGCTGAGTGAGGCTGGCACCGTGTGTGTGTTTGCTTGTGTCTTTCACTTGGGGGAGAATCAAGAGTTTTTTTGTATTTAATTTCCCCATTCACCCTGCTGGTCTGTGCCTGCAGCAGTCTCTCAGGTGTCTCTCACTGGCCTGGCTGGCACCCCCCCCCCCACATCCTGCCGGCCCGCCTCCCGCCGTCATCCGTCTTCCCCGAGGCCCTGGACAGGAAAGAACAGGGAAAATCCTGAAGGCAGCAGCACGTGCGAGCGTCCCCACCCTCTCCTTGACCCCCACACCTGGTTCCCTCCTCCGGCTGCCATAGTCATCCCCAGCTCTGCACACCTAGGTGGTGGCCCAGCCAGGTCCTCCTCAACCCTCAGGCCACACCCTGCCACTGGACACCTAGGGACAGTGCAGTGGACGCAGGGGCCTTGGGGTGTCCCCACGAAGGAGCCCCTCCAGCAGGGACATGCACTCCTTTCCCTTCCTCGGCGGCCCTGGCCGCTGCGTCCCACCCACCGTGCGCTGATTTCTGTCTTTCCCCTTTAGATAGGCTTTTGGCTGGTATCCCTCAGAAGGTCAAGTTCACTGTCACTACCGGCCACTACACGGTAAAGCAAGGGGACAGCCTCCAGCTCAGCAACGTGGAAGCCATGCTCATCCTGGGTCAGGCGGAGAACAGAGCCGTGATCTATTCCAACTCGAGGGGTGAGTGCCGGCCGTGCCGAGTGCCAGGCGCCAGGCAGCTTGTCCGCGTGGCTGCCTTGGCCTGCTGGCACTTGTCCTGCCTCTGAGGTCAGTGTGCGTGGGAGAGCAGACTGAGTGTGGGCTGCGTGCTAGGTGTTCCGCCGTGTTCCGCCCTCGCCGAGCACATGAGGGACTGAGTGTGGGCTGCGTGCTAGGTGTTCCGCCGGCTCCGCGGTGCTGCCTGCCCATCTCACAGCACAGCACAGCACAGCACACGCCTCAGCAGCCCTGAAAGTCTGCCGTGAGGACTGGAGAGAAGGATGGAGAGCAGGACGGTGTGCAGGGACGCACACAGGCCGTGGCGGCCCCTCCCCCAGGCTGAAGACAGTGACAGCCGTGTGGGCTGCAGCCTGCCGGCTCCCTGCTGTGCCCCCTGTCCTGAGCCCTGCTGGGGCCCACTGCTGGGCACAGCACCCGCTGTCAGAGAGGAAGGCACAGAGGGACGGTGGGAGCTATTGGGCAAGACCTTGCCTGTCTTCTGCAGAAAAGTCTCGTGATGCGTGGCTGCGGATCCAGTCCTCCGACAAGGTCACCAGCATCGGCCTGCCCGCCGCCCCCGCCTACCACGCCATCGAGTTTGAGCTGGACGTCCTCTCCATGCCCCCGGCCCCCACCACCACGGGGGATGGTGATGCGCTGGGGACGTCAGAGCCCCACGAGAAGCACAGGGACAGGCAGAAGGCTGGCCTGCACATGGACTCCACCGATCACAAGGTAGGGCTGTGGTGTGGCTCCGCCCATCTTGCCTGTCACGGAATGTCACCAAGGGACTGCCGGGGCTGGGGCTGGGGCTGGGGCTGGGCTGGGCTGGGCTGGGCTGGGCAGGGCAGAGCTGGGCTGGGCTGGGCTGGGCAGGGCAGAGCTGGGCTGGGGCAGAGTTGGGCTGGGCTGGGCTGGGCTGGGCTGGAATGTCAGGCCCCTGCAGTCCCAGGCCCTTGAGCACTTGTGCTGAGCACTGTGTCTGTGCAGAGCGGGGGGAAGACAGGCTTGAGCTGTTCTGTCTCCCAGGAGGGGAGGGGTCGGAGTGGGGACGCCGGTCTGCTTGCCCTGGTCCCGCTCTGCGTCGTCTCCATGCACCGTCCGCGTCACTCTCCGTGTGCTGCTGTGCACCGCCCGTCACTTCTGGAGAGATCCGTGACTGATCCAGAATCCTGGGGAAAGAACTCAGGGTGCAGGGACTGTGCGTGTCTTGCTCAGACGCAGTTCTCAGGGCGTTTGCACAGCCTGTGCCCGGAAGGAGAGGGAAGAAGGCTCAGAAGTGGTTACTTGGTCTGGGCCTCGCACATGATGGAGGCTGGACTGGGAGCCGAGCGGCCGGGACTGGAACCGAGCCTCCGGTCCGGGATGCTGGCGCCTCAGGTGGCACCCTGACCCGCTGCATCCCAGCACTGGCCCCGAGGGAGCAGCGTGAGCACTGATGGCCGCGCGTTCTCGGTGTGGGCATTTGCGGCACGTGGTCAGTAGGTGGCGCTCAGGCCTGCTTCCTGCCTGTCCTCACCGTTCCACAGGCTGATTGAGTTTCAGTTGCCTGTTCAGCGTCAGGTATCTAGTCTGGCTTGGTGTGGCTGCACACGCTGCACCCTAGACTCCCACACGTGATCAGTGTACTTGGGGTCCCTGCCCCAGATGTCCGTGTCCGGAGCCACTGAGGCCATCCTGGTGGCAACTGGACGCCCTGCCCGTCCGTCTCTGCGGGTGTGCGTGTGCACGGGTTTCCTTGGTGTGTTTCTGAATGGTGAATGGTGATGTCGGAATGGAACGTCCAGGACCCTGTCGGCCACTGCAGGCGCAGGTGCACCTTGGGGGGTGGCGTCCGGTCTGAGTGTGTGTCCTGTTTCCTCCACAGGTGTCCATTGACTGCCCGTGGTCCATCTACTCCACTGTCGTTGCACTGACGTTCAGTGTGCCCTTCAGGACCACACATGCCCTGCTGTCTGCTGGAACCCGGTAACCGAGGCGCGGGCCAGGCCCGCTTCTTTCCCTAGGCTGTCCTCAGCTCAGTGTGCAGAGCTCGGCCTTAGTGACAGGGAACTTGCTTACGTAACGGCAGTGCCCTTGGCCAGCAGTTAAAATGTGCAGCGCCCAGTCCAGCTGTCTCAGCAGTGGCATTTCGCAGTGGGTGTGTTGGTTCGGGGTCCAGAGTCCCCGTCTGGTGACCAGGTCCTGCACGGCCCCCTGTGTTCTCTATGCCGTGGACTTCCGGCCGCACTCAGGCCACTTGTCCTCTGGAAGCTCATCTCCGCTGCTTGCATCCGTCCCCGTGCGGTGGCAGATGCTGGGTGCCTGCAGGACGCCGGTGAGCCTGTGCTGCTGGGGTGTCCCCTTCGCCGGGGCGACACCCCAGTCTCCAGATGTTGCTCAAGCATCCACCAGGAGGTGCAGACAGGAGAGAGGCGGGCTCCCGTCCCCGCACGGGGCTGTGGTCCCACCTGCCGGGTGCCAGCCTCTGCATCTGTGGGCGGCCATTTGGAAGGCAGGATGTACAGGTGTCAGAGCCCAGGGCACCCTAGACACTTAGGTTACAAACAGGGGCTCAGGGCTGGCGCTGTGGTGCAGCGGGTAGAGCCACCGCCTCCCGTGCCAGCATCCCACATGGGTGCGGGTTCGAGTCCCGGCTGCTCCACTTCCCATCCAGCTCTCTGCTGTGGCCTGGGGAAGCAGCAGAAGATGCCCAAGTCCTTGGGCTCCTGCACCCACACGGGAGACCCAGAAGAAGCTCCTGGCTCCTGGCTTTGTATCGGCATAGCTCCAGCCATTGCAGCCAATTGGAGAGTGAACCAGCAGATGGAAGACCCCTCTCTCTGCCTCTTCTTCTCTCTGTGTAGCTCTGAATTTCAAATAAATAAATCCTCAAAACAAACCAGGGTCTCGCAGGGGAGCTGAGGGTCTTCCCTAGGGACTCCCCGTGCGGTGGCACCGAGGAGAAGCCTCTGCGGAGCTTCTGGCGAGGAGGAAGGGCGGCTGTTGGCCCGCCCGTGCCACCCCGGGCCGTCGCGGCCGGGAGCCGTCTCCTCTGGGCCCGCAGGAAGGACGGCGTGCACCTGTGAAGTCTAAAGTAGAGTTACCTGCAGCACCCTCTTCTTGCTTGGGCACTCGCGTGACTCCCGGGCAGAAAGGGTCGTCTTAGGAGAGCTCGAGTGTGGTTGGTGAGGTTCTTCATGTCCAAGTCACGCTTCTCGTTTTCTGCTCCAGGAAGTATGTTCAAGTTTGTGTGCAGAATTTGTCAGAGCTGGACTTCCAGCTGTCAGACGGTGCCCTTGTAGATACCGGTGCCGGCACCCACCTGCAGCTCGTGCCGTTGAACACGCAGTGCCAGCAGGTAAACGTTGCTCCGCCCGCACCTGCCGTCCCTGGGCTGCGTGGCACGGCGTGGGTTCCATAGCGCGGGGGGATGGGCACTCGGAGGAGAGTTGGGCCTCAGGCCTGTGCTGCCTCCTCTGCGCACAAGCCTGTGGTCACCCGGACACCGCCACCCTAGGGAGCGGAGAGGACTCCGTCTGCCTGTCTGTGGAGGAGGGAGGAGTCTGGGTGACTGGCAACGGCTCCTCTCTGTCCACACACCTGGCCTCCTCGGTTGTGCTGGGCTCGGGTGACGGCTCCTCCCTGTGTCCGCACACCTGGCCTGCTCCTCCGTGCTGGACTCGGGTGACGGCTCCTCCCTGTGTCCACACACCTGGCCTCCTCAGCCGTGCTGGACTCGGGTGACAGCTCCTCCCTGTGTCCGCACACCTGGCCTGCCTGCTCGGCCGTGCTGGACTTGGGTGACGGCTCCTCCCTGTGTCTGCACACCTGGCCTCCTCGTTGTGCTGGGCTCAGGTGACAGCTCCTCCCTGTGTCCGCACACCTGGCCTGCCTGCTCGGCCGTGCTGGGCTCGGGTGACGGCTCCTCCCTGTGTCCGCAACCTGGCCTGCTCGGCTGTGCTGGGCTCGGGTGACGGCTCCTCCCTGTGTCCGCACACCTGGCCTGCCTGCTCCTCCGTGCTGGACTCGGGTGACGGCTCCTCCCTGTGTCCGCATACCTGGCCTGCCTGCTCGGCCGTGCTGGGCTCGGGTGACGGCTCCTCCCTGTGTCCGCACACCTGGCCTCCTCGTTGTGCTGGGCTCGGGTGACGGCTCCTCCCTGTGTCCGCACACCTGGCCTGCCTGCTCGGCCGTGCTGGGCTCGGGTGACGGCTCCTCCCTGTGTCCGCACACCTGGCCTGCCTGCTCGGCTGTGCTGTTTCTATCCGTCTGCCGTGTGTGTTTCTGGGTGGCACATGCTGACTGTTCACAGAGCTTTTTTCTCGTATCGTCAGCATTTTCAGGTTTTTCCCGTTTTCAAGGTCTGCCTGAGCCTGTCACTTCCTGTCACCCGGGAGTGACAGTGGGCCAGGCGCTGTGTTGGTTTGTGCCAGCTCCTCGGGTGACTTCCTGGCGGGCAGCGGGCAGTCGGCTTGGGGTGCAGCTATGCTGTGGCTGGCGTGGAGCGCGTGGCCCACGCGGACACTGACCCGGTGCTCGGGCGGCTGTCCCTGCTCCCTGGTGTGGTGAAGCTGAGGGCTTCCTGGCGTGCTGAGGTGTCTTTAGCACTCGTGTGGGCTCTGACAGAAGGCAGGCGGGCGGCGCTGCTGTGGCCGGGGCCCCGGCCAGGGCTCTGCCCCCGCGTGCGCGCCCTCCCTCGGGGGCTGTTGTCCTTGGTGTTGCCAGTGCCAGCCCCTCTCTGCCCCCGCGTGCGCGCCCTCCCTCGGGGGCTGTTGTCCTTGGTGTTGCCAGTGCCAGCCCCTCTCTGCCCCCGCGTGCGCGCCCTCCCTCGGGGGCTGTTGTCCTTGGTGTTGCCAGTGCCAGCCCCTCTCTGCCCCCGCGTGCGCGCCCTCCCTCCGGTGCCGTCCGCGGCGTCGCCAACGCCAGCCCCTCTCTCCGCAGCGCATCTACAGCAAGCAGTCGGTGTTCTTTGTCTGGGAGCTGAAGTGGGTGCAGGAGCCCCCCCCTTCTCTGCACTGCCGGTTCTCCGTTGGATTTTCCCCGGCTTCTGAAGAACGGCTGTCTGTCTCCTTAAAGCCGTACACGTACGAATTTCAAGTGGACAATTTTTTTGTACGTAACGTATTACTGGGGGTGGGGGTGGGGGTGGGGGAGAAATGAAAGGCGCGTCCTGTGCTTGCTGCTCCGAGAACGCGGCTGGACGGGCCCCGGTCCCTAGGAGCTCTCCTGCCCCGCACTGATGCCATCACCTGGGGACGTGCCCCCGGGCCCTCCCTCCCGGCCTGCTGCTCCGTGCGCCTGGCTCTCTGAGGCGTGTCTACTCCTTAAGGGGCTCCAGCCAGCTGTGGAAACTCGGCACGGGTGTGCGAAGGTGTTCGTGTAACAGTTGCACCTTCTTGTAAGAAGTGGTTCTGTGTATTTCAGAGCAGAGTGAGGGAGAGCGGGAGAGGCAGCGAGCGAGTGCACGCTTCCGTTGCTGGCTTACCCCGAAATAGATGCGACGGCCGGAGCCGTGCCAGGCTGAAGCCAGGAGCTCAGAGCTCCATCCGGGTCTCCCACAGGCCGGCAGGGACCTGAGCACTGGGCCGTCGTCTGCTGCCTTCCTAGCAGGGACGCGGGTGGGAACTAGGGCTGGGACGGAACCAGCACTTGTTAGGGTGCTGGTGTCAGACGCAGTGGCTTAGCTGCGCCACAGTGCCCGTCCCCGCCGTTGCGTCTCCTGACAGAGGCCAGTGCAAGTGCGGGGCTGAGGGCCGCGCTGTGCGGGGGAGGCCGTGTCCTGTACTGAGGCTGCGTTGGGCACAAGTCCAGACGTCAGTGTCCACTTCTCTGGTGTTGCCTTTTCTCCTCCCCACTGCTGAAAGTCATCAGATGTTTTGTTTGAGGTGTTTGTGTTTGTGATTTGTTATTAGCATGCTTTTCTCTTCCACATTCCAACCAAAACAGACTAATTGTTTTGACCCTTGTGTGTATGTGTGTGTAAGATTTATTTATTTATTTAAAGGCAGAGTGATGGGGAGGGGAGAGAAAGATCTTCCAACCACTGGTTGACTCCCCAAAGGCCTACGACAGCCGGTGCTGGGCCAGGCCCAAGCCAGCAACTCCATCCGGCTCTCCTCTGTCAGTGGCAGGGGCGCGAGCACTTAGGCCACCTTCTGCTGCCTTCCCAGGTGCGTTAGCTGGGAGCTGGGTCCACTGGCCCGACGCGGGTGCCAGCATTCAGGCGGCAGCGGCACCTGCATCTGCCACGCACGCGGGGGCCCCTCGACCCCGTGAACTCCTAATCATTAGCCTCAGAGAAATAAACATGGTCACGAGCGTGCGTGACAGATGCGTGGCCTGTGACGTGTGGAGAGCCACGGGCAGCCAGCCGTCCGTGTCTCAGCGGGACGCAGTGAACCTGGCTGCCCGCTGCCCGTCGTCAGCTCGGGAGCAGATTCCGTTGCTACTTCTCTTCTTTGCTTTCTCTTCAAACTGGGAGTATAGAGAGCTCCCCGTGGCACTGGCCTGTTAGGATGGAGGCCAGAGAAAGGTCTTGAGTGGACCTCTCTTTGCAGAGGTGGTGTTCTGCACCCGTGTTGGTCGCTCACTCGGGGTGGTGGTGTGCTTAGTGGTTCCTCGCTGGCCACGGCTACCACCCAGGGCCACGGCTCCCTAAGGCGTCTCTGCGGTGGGCTGGGTTCGCAACACTGTGTGACTGTTCCCCAGTCTGATTGAAACCTTACCCCATTCACAGTCGCTCGCCTGTTCTTTGCTGTGGTCAGCCCCAGGCCCCCCGACGCACCAGCGGACCCGGCTCTGGATTCCTGTGACGTCAGGCAGTGGCTCAGGCTCCCTCCTGCTCTGTGTAGCGTGCGCCAGGCCCTGCTGTGCACCCACGTAGCAGTGGCTGGGGTCTGGGTGCTGTCTGATGCTGCCCTGAGGACCTAGGTCCTGGCTTTCACGTGGCCCTGTGTACTCGGGGCAGAATCCGGGGTCATGTGGCCCTGTGTACTCGGGTCTCGGGGCAGAAACCGGGGTCACATGGCCCTGTGTATTCGGGTCTCGGGGCAGAATCCAGGGTCACGTGGCCCTGTGTACTCAGGTCTCGGGGCAGAAACCGGGATCACATGTCCCTGTGTACTCAGGTCTCGGGGCAGAAACCGGGATCACATGTCCCTGTGTACTCGGGTCTCGGGGCAGAATCTGGGGTCACATGTCCCTGTGTACTCGGGTCTCGGGGCAGAATCTGGGGTCACGTGGCCCTGTGTACTCGGGGCAGAATCTGGGGTCACGTGGCCCTGTGTACTCGGGTCTCGGGGCAGAAACCGGGGTCACATGTCCCTGTGTACTCGGGTCTTGGGGCAGAATCTGGGGTCACGTGGCCCTGTGTACTCAGGTCTCGGGGCAGAATCCGGGGTCACGTGGCCCTGTGTACTCAGGTCTCGGGGTAGAATCTGGGGTCACATGGCCCTGTGTACTCAGGTCTCAGGGGAGAATCCGGGGTCACGTGGCCCTGTGTACTCGGGTCTCGGGGCAGAATCTGGGGTCACGTGGCCCTGTGTACTCGGGTCTCGGGGCAGAATCTGGGGTCCCGTGGCGGCGCTGGGCTTCACGTCCGAGAAGCTGCCGGCACGTTTTCAGAGAGGCCGCACGTTCCTGGTTCTGCCTCGTGTTCCCGTTGGCCCCTGCGGCCAGGAGCCCCCCTGTGCGGGAGCCTGTGCGTCCTCTTTGGAGAGATGGGTATTTATGCAGCGCTCATTTGTGTTTCTGCCATTGAGTTGTGCGCTCTGTGTGTCTCGCCCACCCCTCCTTACCGGGCGCGCAGATTATCCGCGCCCTTCCCCGTCCCGAGAGTGACCTTCTCCACGCCCTTCCCCGTCCCGAGAGTGACCTTCTCCACGCCCTTCCCCCTCCCGAGAGTGGCCTTCTCCGCGCCCTTCCCCGTCCCGAGAGTGGCCTTCTCCGTGCCCTTCCCCGTCCCGAGAGTGGCCTTCTCCACGCCCTTCCCCCTCCCGAGAGTGGCCTTCTCCACGCCCTTCCCCGTCCCGAGAGTGACCTTCTCCACGCCCTTCCCCCTCCCGAGAGTGGCCTTCTCCGTGCCCTTCCCCGTCCCGAGAGTGGCCTTCTCCGTGCCCTTCCCCGTCCCGAGAGTGGCCTTCTCCACGCCCTTCCCCCTCCCGAGAGTGGCCTTCACGCCCTTCCCCGTCCCGAGAGTGACCTTCTCCACGCCCTTCCCCCTCCCGAGAGTGGCCTTCTCCGCGCCCTTCCCCGTCCCGAGAGTGGCCTTCTCCGCGCCCTTCCCCGTCCCGAGAGTGGCCTTCTCCGCGCCCTTCCCCCTCCCGAGAGTGGCCTTCTCCACGCCCTTCCCCCTCCCGAGAGTGGCCTTCTCCACGCCCTTCCCCGTCCCGAGAGTGACCTTCTCCACGCCCTTCCCCCTCCCGAGAGTGGCCTTCTCCGCGCCCTTCCCCGTCCCGAGAGTGGCCTTCTCCGCGCCCTTCCCCCTCCCGAGAGTGGCCTTCTCCACGCCCTTCCCCCTCCCGAGAGTGACCTTCTCCACGCCCTTCCCCCTCCCGAGAGTGGCCTTCTCCGTGCCCTTCCCCGTCCCGAGAGTGGCCTTCTCCGCGCCCTTCCCCGTCCCGAGAGTGGCCTTCTCCACGCCCTTCCCCCTCCCGAGAGTGGCCTTCTCTGCACCCTTCCCCGTCCCGAGAGTGACCTTCTCTGCGCCCTTCCCCCTCCCGGGAGTGGCCTTCTCCACGCCCTTCCCCCTCCCGAGAGTGACCTTCTCCACGCCCTTCCCCGTCCCGAGAGTGGCCTTCTCCGTGCCCTTCCCCGTCCCGAGAGTGGCCTTCTCCACGCCCTTCCCCCTCCCGAGAGTGGCCTTCTCCACGCCCTTCCCCGTCCCGAGAGTGACCTTCTCCACGCCCTTCCCCCTCCCGAGAGTGGCCTTCTCCGTGCCCTTCCCCGTCCCGAGAGTGGCCTTCTCCGCGCCCTTCCCCGTCCCGAGAGTGACCTTCTCCACGCCCTTCCCCCTCCCGAGAGTGGCCTTCTCCGTGCCCTTCCCCGTCCCGAGAGTGGCCTTCTCCGCGCCCTTCCCCCTCCCGAGAGTGGCCTTCTCCACGCCCTTCCCCGTCCCGAGAGTGACCTTCTCCGCGCCCTTCCCCCTCCCGAGAGTGGCCTTCTCCGTGCCCTTCCCCGTCCCGAGTGTGGCCTTCTCCGTGCCCTTCCCCCTCCCGAGAGTGACCTTCTCCACGCCCTTCCCCCTCCCGAGAGTGGCCTTCTCCGTGCCCTTCCCCGTCCCGAGAGTGGCCTTCTCCGCGCCCTTCCCCCTCCCGAGAGTGGCCTTCTCCACGCCCTTCCCCGTCCCGAGAGTGACCTTCTCCGTGCCCTTCCCCCTCCCGAGAGTGGCCTTCTCCGTGCCCTTCCCCGTCCCGAGAGTGGCCTTCTCCGCGCCCTTCCCCCTCCCGAGAGTGGCCTTCTCCACGCCCTTCCCCCTCCCGAGAGTGGCCTTCTCCACGCCCTTCCCCCTCCCGAGAGTGGCCTTCTCCACGCCCTTCCCCCTCCCGAGAGTGGCCTTCTCCACGCCCTTCCCCCTCCCGAGAGTGGCCTTCTCCGTGCCCTTCCCCGTCCTGAGAGTGGCCTTCTCCACGCCCTTCCCCCTCCCGAGAGTGACCTTCTCCACGCCCTTCCCCCTCCCGAGAGTGGCCTTCTCCGTGCCCTTCCCCGTCCTGAGAGTGACCTTCTCCGTGCCCTTCCCCGTCCCGAGAGTGGCCTTCTCCACGCCCTTCCCCCTCCCGAGAGTGACCTTCTCCGCGCCCTTCCCCCTCCCGAGAGTGACCTTCTCCGCGCCCTTCCCCCTCCCGAGAGTGACCTTCTCCGCGCCCTTCCCCCTCCCGAGAGTGACCTTCTCCGTGCCCTTCCCCGTCCCGAGAGTGACCTTCTCCGCGCCCTTCCCCCTCCCGAGAGTGGCCTTCTCCGCGCCCTTCCCCCTCCCGAGAGTGACCTTCTCCACGCCCTTCCCCCTCCCGAGAGTGGCCTTCTCCACGCCCTTCCCCCTCCCGAGAGTGACCTTCTCCGCGCCCTTCCCCCTCCCGAGAGTGGCCTTCTCCGCGCCCTTCCCCCTCCCGAGAGTGACCTTCTCCACGCCCTTCCCCCTCCCGAGAGTGACCTTCTCCGCGCCCTTCCCCCTCCCGAGAGTGACCTTCTCCGCGCCCTTCCCCCTCCCGAGAGTGGCCTTCTCCGTGCCCTTCCCCGTCCCGAGAGTGACCTTCTCCGCGCCCTTCCCCCTCCCGAGAGTGGCCTTCTCCGTGCCCTTCCCCCTCCCGAGAGTGACCTTCTCCGTGCCCTTCCCCCTCCCGAGAGTGGCCTTCTCCGCGCCCTTCCCCCTCCCGAGAGTGGCCTTCTCCGCGCCCTTCCCCCTCCCGAGAGTGGCCTTCTCCACGCCCTTCCCCCTCCCGAGAGTGACCTTCTCCGCGCCCTTCCCCGTCCCGAGAGTGGCCGTGGCCTTCTCACTTCCTCGCTGCTGCCCCTGCAGCGCAGAGCTGTCCGTGTTGCTGAGCTCGGACGCGTCGCTGGACTTCGGAGTCCAGGTCTCGGAAATCGCGCGTGACTCCAGCGGGGAGACCCCCTCCTGTGCTTGCTTCTGCGCGTTCACAGTCTCGCTCCTCCACCGATGTCTGTGACTGCTTCGCTCTGGGTTCTGAGTGTGGTGCGTGGTCGGGGCCCACAGTCGCTCTCCACGTGCCTCCTCCGTGGCCACAGCGCTGTTTGCTGAAGGGACTGTCCCTCCCCCTCTGATGGCCTTGGCACCCTCGTGGGACGTCCTGGGCCCTGCACTGGCCCGGAATATCTGAGCTCGCTTCTGAAGACCCTGCAGCCGTCTCTGGCCATCTCCGCGCCCCGCGCCTCTGGCTCCCCTGTTCCACTCTTCCCCGCCGGGCTCGGAGCATCCCCGTTCTTCCCCACACTGGGCCCCTTGGTCTGACAGCCACTGCTGCCTGCCCCGATGGCTGCACGTGTCGGCCCGCCTTGGCCCTGTGGTCACAGCCCCTGTGGAGGTTGGTGGGCGTTTGCTGCAGCTCTGCGGGGGTTGATTGGGATCCGAGGCCTGCCTGGAGCCTGGGTGGCGCTGGGAGAACGCCGTGGCCTGGTCCGTCGGGCTGGCCACAGGGGCTGAGCACAGACGCCTTTTCATCCTCAGGGCCCCCTTCGCGATCTTACGGTTCCGACAGAACCGTCTCCTGAACCGAGTCGTGCTGCGGCTTGTGGGCGCCAGGGTACCCAGGGGGAGAATGCGTAACTCCAGAAGCGAGACGCCGGCATGCGGGGGTGGGCAGGGGCGTCGTGGGCCGTGAGGGAACCTCGCCGTGCCAGCTGCGCGGGGGCTGCAGGAGCACCTGGCAGAGGGCGTGGGAGTGGGCGTGGCTGGAACCGGGGATCTGTTAAGGTCGCTACTTGTAACGGCATTGTGGTTTGGTAAGCAAGTGTCTGTCTCTGAGTGGTGCGGTGAGGCAGCCGCTCCAGGAGTTCGCTCAGAATATTCCTCCCATACAGAAACGTGGCCTGGCGGGAGCGCTGGGGGGAGCAGCAGTCGGTTCTCCCTGAATCTGGGGGTGGCTGTGGGCGCTCACACGCGCTCCTTTCTGCTTGGGCGTGGGAGTAGCCTGGATGTCCGAGGTGAGGTGCGGGGGCCTGCAGTGGGGCTCCCCGCCAGGACGGCTGGGCCGGCCCACGCGCCCTCCCGAGGTCATGACCGAACTTCTCTCTCCCTGCCCGCCAGACGCTGTACACCGTGAGAGCCGAGATAGCGCCCCCGGCGGGGATGGAGCACTGTCGCACGGGCGCCCTGTGCTGCCTGGAGGTGTCCATCACGCGGCTCTCGGGCCTCCTGGAGGTGGATAAGGACGAGGCGCTGACCGAGTCCAACGAGTACTTTTCCACAAAGCTCATGTATGAAGGTGGGTCTTCCGCCACGGCCCAGCCCCTGTCCACCCAGAGGAGGGCTCCCTGTCAGGGACAGGCGCCCCAGGACTACAGGCGTCCGCTGAGACCTGGCCCAAGCCCCTGTGGTGGCTCTGTCCTCGGGGCGCATCCTCGGAGGGCACTGTCTGGCAAGGCCAGGTCCAGCGGCCTCACAGGACAGCGCCTGCTTCCGCTGACTTGGGATCCTGCCAGCCCTCCGCTGCCTCGGCCCAGCAGGTCAGAGCTCATGGTGCCTGCACCTTTGTGCCCTGAAAACAAAGCATTCATTTATTCACTCTAGAACAGCCACGGTTTACCCGTTCCATGCTGCTGTTCATGAACACACAGAACGATGCTACGCCGTGTCCAGCTACCGGCAGCAGACTCCCCCTGCCCGGCGCCCGTGCTGGCTCAGAGCCCCCGCCTCCCGCACGTGTTGTGAAGGGGCGGCCTTTGCCGCACGCGCAGCTTCGTGCCTTGTCCTCCGAGCGGTGGCTCCGGGGGCAGCCCGAGACCACGAGAGTGGGCAGTTCCTGCTCCTGTGCCATCGACGCCTGGTTCTGTTACCCGCACGCCGCTGTGCACCACCGCACTCTGTGGCTTGGAAGTGTGGCTTTCAGAGTCGTGCAGGGCGTCCGGGTGTTGACAGCACGGAAGGGGGACACTTATGCGCTCACCAGGTGGGCTCTGTCCAGCTCACAGCGGCCAATGCGAGTTTGCCAAATTGCTCACTTTGGCTCAGAGTCTGCAGGAGTCGCATTGGCAGCACGCACTGCTGGCCGTGCCTCTGACGTGACGGGCTCACAGCATGCGCCTTCAAGCAAGCGCCCGCCCGAGAGCTGAGACCGAGGCCCTGGGCCCTGAAGGCAGGGCCGGTGCAGCTCACAGCGTAGACCAGCGTGTGTGCTTCTCCTCGCTGCAGCCCTGGCCCAGTGGGCGGGCAGGGTGGGCCGTGACCCTGCACTGCCTTGGCAGTTGGTCACGGGAGGCTGTGTGCTGTGTGACTTCCTGTGATGGAGATGGGGGAGGTGGCAGCAGTGGGGCATCCTCCGTGTGGGCCTGGACGTGTGGTCACGTGAGACAAAGCCACACCTGCAGCAAGGCTGCGGTCCCGTGCCGCGGCCGTGCCGGTTCCCGGCTGTCACGGGGCTCCCCTGGGAAGCCGGTGATGGGAACATGTGGCATTGCTCTGCTGCCTCTGTGGTTTTCCTTTTTTTTAAGTTTATTTATTTGAGAGGCAGAGTTAGAGACCGAGGGAGAGAGAGCGAGAGATCTTCCTTCTGCTGGTTCACTCCCCAAACGGCTGGAGCTGCGTTGATCCAAGGCCAGGAACTGGGAGCTTCTTCCCGGTCTCCCATGCGGGTGCAGGGGCCCAAGCACTTGGGCCATCCTCCACTGCCTTCCCAGGCCACAGCAGAGAGCTGGATCGGAAGTAGAGCAGCTGGGGCTGGAACCAGCACCCATATGGCATGCCGGTGCTGCAGGTGGAGGCTACACGTAGTGCACCGCAGTGCCGGCCCCAGTCCATGAACCTTCCGTGTTAGTGGTGAGCACTCGACGGCGAGGCGTAGTGAAGGGACCCCCTGTTGGCTTCCTGACGGCGTCCTTGGGTCCGCGGGGTGCAGGTGCTCAGAGCCTGACTCTGAGTGCTGACGCGCAGGGCCCTGCCCCTCCTCTGCGACCTGGGCTGCTGCTTCGTGTCCCTGCGACCAGACACCATGGCCTCCTGGCCGTGCTGTCCACGTCCTGAGGGCAGGGTCCTGTTCTGCTAGCTCAGCCGTCTTGGGGCAGGCTGCTCTGCAGTAGATGAGGGTTGTGGTGCCCGCGTCTGCCGGCATTCGTGGTGCTGAGGGCCTAGGCTATGTCTCCTCTTGCCATCCTGGGCGGGCAGCCTGAGAGCCGTGGTGTCCTCACCACACACCCCACCACCACCCCGATCTAACTGTAGCCTTCTGCGCTGTCTGGCGTGATCCGGTCTAAACTAGAACTCGTGGTGTGTCGAGCTGCGTGTGTGTGGTATCTTTAGTTATGAAGCTCCAATCTCTCCTCTCTGGGCTTGCGGAGGGTGGCCGGCACGGCGCCTCCTCCCGCGTGGAGCGTGGCCGGCACGGCGCCTCCTCCCGCGTGGAGCGTGGCCGGCACGGCGCCTCCTCCCGCGTGGAGCGTGGCCGGCACGGCGCCTCCTCCCGCGTGGAGCGTGGCCGGCACGGCGCCTCCTCCCGCGTGTGCCAACTGGTGGCTCTCCCCTGTGTTTCAGTTGTCGACAACAGCAGCAACTGGGCGGTGTGTGGGAAGAGCTGCGGTGTCATCTCCATGCCGGTGGCCGCGCAGGCCACTCACAGAGTGCGCATGGAGGTGATGCCCCTCTTCGCCGGCTACCTGCCGCTGCCCGACGTGCGGCTGTTCAAGTACCTCCCCCATCACTCTGCACACTCCTCGCAGCTGGACGCCGGTAAGGGGCCATGCAGGCCGGCTCGCGGTTCGCACGTGCTCAGTGCCTCGGGTGCGGGCGCGAGGCAGCTGTGCTGCAGGCGGGGACCACGTCCAGCGAGGCTCTGCGCGTGCAGGCCAGCTCCACGTGGCTTGCCCTGACTTCCTGTGCTTTGCAGACAGCTGGATCGAGAACGACACCCTGTCCGTGGACAAGCACGTGGACGACCAGCTGGACAGCAGCAGCGTCCAGAGGAGAGGCAGTGCGCACTCGGCCGCCGGCAGCGAGCACAGGGGCTTGCCCATGCCCCGGCTCCAGGCGCTTCCCGCCGGCCAGGTCTTCAACGCCAGCACAGGCACCCAGGTCCTGGTGGTCCCCAGCCAGGACGACCACGTGCTGGAAGTCAGCGTCACATGACCGCCCCTCAGGGAGCGGTGCAGGACTGACTGCGAGTGCACTTTAAGGGATCGTGGCTGGACGGCTCCCGCCGGGACTTGGCGTGGAGACACCGCGGGTGGTCGGCGTGGTCCCATTCTCGTTTCTGTGTTTGTGATCCGAGGTTCGGCCCGGCCCTGGGCTGGCGACCCACTACAGCGCTTGCTCAGAGCCCGGCTCCCTCCTCCTCACCTGTCCGTCTCTCCACGAGGACCTCCCCTGTGCTGGCTGTGTCTGGACATCCGTCTGTCTCAGTGGACCTTGCGGTCTCCTTGGTGACCCGTGGCTGCCTCCTGGTCAGGCTGCTGCCCAGTTCCTGGACCAAGGTGGACTCGTCCATCTCTCAGAGGGAGGATAGCGGCCTTTCCCCTTATCATCTCATTGTGCCCCTTCCAGGGCGCGGGCTGGGGTGGGGGTGGGGAGGGGACAGAAGCCCTCTGTGCCTTGGGATGGAGCCGGGCAGACCTGAGGCGCGGCTTGGAAGAGACCAGACCAGGGCGCGAGAACCGCTCGGCGGTGAGAGTTAGGGAGAGATGCTTCCGGTACCCGTGTCCCCCATGATGTTGATTGGAGAGCATATGCACTTGGAATTAAATATATATTTATTTTAATGATCACACGTGTGGGGTTATTAATGCTCACGTCAAGTCTTTGCTTGTAATCATCGCTGTATGAGCCGTGTTTCTCCTGTGCCGTGAGTCCCAGGACTGGAGCAGCTCCCTGGGGTCCGGCGGCCGCGCAGGGGCGAGGAGCAGCCTCGGCTGCTGAGTCCCGGGCTCACGGGGCACCTGGCTGGGTGTGACTGTATACACGGGCGACGGGTTATTTTCGAAAGTGCAGACCACTGTAATGTGTAGGTTGCACCAAACAGCGAGGCCAGTCAGCGCGTCTGCACAGCCGTGGTGCGTGCAGCCTTTGCCGGCGCTCCAGAGAGCGTGTTCTTGTACAGGCGTGTAGAACTCTTCCTCCATGCGAAGCCGGCTGGGAATTGAACTGGACGGGGAGGGCGGGGCCGAGGAGCTCTACTCAATAAAAGAGGTGTGACCCCCATGTCTCTTCTTTTGTGGAAACTGGAGAAATGTGTAAAGAAAATGAGTATTAAAGTGTTTAATTAGGCTTTTCAGAAATTGATCTAATGTGCAGCTCAAAACTAATAACTTGGTCAAACTAGCTGGGCAAGTTAGAACTAGACGATGGCTCAGGTTTTACTGTGAAAACCGACCATCGCCCTACAGAAGGGACGTCTGCACTTCCCGGGTGCAGCTCAGAGCCAAGCACCGGGCCCTGGCGGCGGCTTGGGAAGGGGAGGGGCCGCGTGGCCCCTGGGTCCTCTCCCTCCGGGGTCTGCACGTGGCCCCTGGGTCCTCCCCATCAGGGTCTGCGCGTGGCCCCTGGGTCCTCTCCCTCCGGGGTCTGCACGTGGCCCCTGGGTCCTCCCCATCGGGGTCTGCGCGTGGCCCCTGGGTCCTCTCCCTCCGGGGTCTGCACGTGGCCCCTGGGTCCTCCCTGTCGGGGTCTGCACGTGGCCCCTGGGTCCTCCATCGGGGTCTGCACGTGGCTCCTGGGTCCTCTCCCTTCGGGGTCTGCGCGTGGCCCCTGGGTCCTCTCCCTCCGGGGTCTGCACGTGGCCCCTGGGTCCTCCCCATCGGGGTCTGCACGTGGCCCCTGGGTCCTCTCCCTTCGGGGTCTGCGCGTGGCCCCTGGGTCCTCTCCCTCCGGGGTCTGCACGTGGCCCCTGGGTCCTCCCCGTCGGGGTCTGCACGTGGCCCCTGGGTCCTCCATCGGGGTCTGCGCGTGGCCCCTGGGTCCTCTCCCTCCGGGGTCTGCACGTGGCCCCTGGGTCCTCCCCATCGGGGTCTGCGTGTGGCCCCTGGGTCCTCTCCCTTCGGGGTCTGCGCGTGGCCCCTGGGTCCTCTCCCTCCGGGGTCTGCACGTGGCCCCTGGGTCCTCCCCGTCGGGGTCTGCACGTGGCCCCTGGGTCCTCCATCGGGGTCTGCACGTGGCCCCTGGGTCCTCTCCCTCCGGGGTCTGCACGTGGCCCCTGGGTCCTGCCCATCGGGGTCTGCACGTGGCCCCTGGGTCCTCTCCCTCTGGGGTCTGCACGTGGCCCCTGGGTTCTCCACATCGGGGTCTGCACGTGGCCCCTGGGTCCTCCATCAGGGTCTGCGCGTGGCCCCTGGGTCCTCTCCCTCCGGGGTCTGCACGTGGCCCCTGGGTCCTCCCCATCGGGGTCTGCACGTGGCCCCTGGGTTCTCCACATCGGGGTCTGCACGTGGCCCCTGGGTCCTCCATCAGGGTCTGCGCGTGGCCCCTGGGTCCTCTCCCTCCGGGGTCTGCACGTGGCCCCTGGGTCCTCCCCATCGGGGTCTGCACGTGGCCCCCGGGTCCTCCCCATCGGGGTCTGACCCAGGAGGAAAATTTCCAATGGGTGCTGCGTTCAGGGGAAGAAGACAGAGAAACCTGACGTACTTGTGGCCGAGGGAACAACCACAGGTGGTTCCTGTTGATCGCCCAAATTAAGTCCCTGGGTGCTTCTGTCCCCTCGGCGTCCAGAACTTCAAGCCCTTGTTCTCCTTTTTCTCTTTTTCTTAACGTTTCTCCTCAGTGAAAGGCCGTCACGGGGTCTTGGCTGTGTTTCACAGGAAGGGAGGTTTACGTGTTTGCCATGAACTTGGGAAGCCAGGACTGGATGCGGTCAGACGCTGAGGACGCACTGGCCCGCGGGGAGGGAGCGGATAGACTTCTGAGTTTCCTGGGCCCCCTGTGGCGGGAGGAACCGCCCCGGGTGGGCGGAGCGCAGTGAGCGCACGCAGGGCTCGGCCGGTCTCTGCAGTGTGCGGAGTTGTTAAGCCCTGCACGTCTGCATACAAAGTGAAAAGCCCGGGTAATTTTACCAAAGCGGAGTCGCTGATCTGTTGACCCGCTCGCTTTCAGCTGTCACTGTTGGCGGAGGTGCCCGGCCGGCTTCCGGGTGGCCCCGCTAGCACCCGCCCCGTCCCTGCGCTCGCCGGGCTGTGACCCGGGGCAGCTGTCCGGTGCGCGGCGGCTGTAGCCCGGCCCCCGGCCCGCCTCCCCAGGTTCTCAACCCGAGGACCCGCGGGGGCTAGCACGGGTGTCGGGGCCCCTGTCGTCGGCCTCCCACGGGTCTCGTCCTCCTTGGGCCCCTTCCTTATCTTCCCTGGATTCGTTAAGTACGGGCAATGCGGCCCCGCAGCTTCACACCGCCCCGGGAGCGCCTGCCGGTCCTGCTCGGGACCGCGGGCGGGGCCCGGGCCTGGGTACCGGCGAGGCCCCGCCTCGGTGGGTGGGGCGGAGCCCGGGGCGGGGCTCCGGCGAGGCCCCGCCTCGGTGGGTGGGGCGGAGCCCGGGGCGGGGCTCCGGCGAGGCCTCGCCTCGGTGGGTGGGGCGGAGCCTGGGGCGGGGCTCCGGCGAGGCCCCGCCTCGGTGGGTGGGGCGGGGCTCCGGCGAGGCCTCGCCTCGGTGGGTGGGGCGGGGCTCCGGCGAGGCCCCGCCTCAGGCGGGGCGGGTCCGCTTCCTCGGCCGCTGGGAGCGCAGTGGCTGCCGGCCGCGGGTGCCCGCCCCGGAAGTGCGCGCCGCGGGAGCCGGGCCCGGTCTGGTCCCGGAAGTGGGGCGGCGCGGCTTCGCGGCACGCGTGTGAGGCGCGGCGATGAAGTTCTCGTACCGGGTGAGCGAGGCTGCTGCGGCCCTGCCTCCCCGCGGGCCTAGCGGGACGGCCTGGGGCGCCGGCGGCTCCCGCCGCGGGCTGAGGGGAGGAGGCGCCCCGCGGCGTCGGCTCCTCGCCTCCGGGGAGGGCGCGTGGCCGGGGGCCCGGGGCTGGGGGCCGGGGCCGCCGCCCGGCGGTGGTCGCGCCTGCGCCGCGCTCGGGGCCGCGGGCTCCCGCCTTTCCGCCCGCGGGACCTGGCCCCGCTGCTGTCGGCCTCGGGATCGTGCGGCGGGCCGCGTGGCGCTGCGAGCGCGCAGGCCGGGAGCCGCTTCCCCGCGTGCCGCGGGGTCCCGGGAGCGCCCCGCTGGGTGCGTGGGTCGGGCCGTGAGGACGGGGATGGCTGTGACGCTGTCTGGGTGCCGGGTGGGCGCGGCGCCGTGCGGTGTTCCCCGAGCTGGGTGCGGGGTGGGCACGGTGCGCCGTGCGGTGTGCCCCGAGCTGGGTGCCGGGTGGGCACGGTGCGCCGTGCGGTGTTCCCCGATCTGGGTGCGGGGTGGGCGCGGCGCCGTGCGGTGTTCCCCGAGCTGGGTGCGGGGTGGGCGCGGCGCGGTGTGCCCCGAGCTGGGTGCGGGGTGGGCACGGTGCGCCGTGCGGTGTTCCCCGAGCTGGGTGCGGGGTGGGCGCGGCGCGGTGTTCCCCGAGCTGGGTGCGGGGTGGGCGCGGCGCGGTGTTCCCCGAGCTGGGTGCGGGGTGGGCGCGGCGCCGTGCGGTGTTCCCCGAGCTGCGTGCGGGGTGGGCGCGGCGCGGCGTGGTGTGCCCCGCGCAGCTGCCTGGGTGTGGGGGCGCCGGGCTCGTCTCGTCCTCCGTGAACAGGTGGCCCGCGTGCCTCACCTGCACCTTCAAGTTTACTTTCTTCTCAGTTTTCAAACTTGCTGGGCACAGTTTACCGGCGTGGAAACCTGAACTTCACGCGGGATGGGAATTCCGTCCTCAGCCCTGTGGGGAACAGGGTCACCGTGTTTGACCTGAAGAAGTAAGTGCGGTCAGGCGGCGGCGGGGGCTCGGCCGGGGTCCCGGACCTGTGTGCGCTGGGTGCGGGGGCCCTGGCCTGACCCTGTTGTTGGGTAAGGGAGCCGGGGGCTTTCCGAAGTTAGGACCCCGCGTCCGCCCAGGGGCGTTTGGGAAGTGATGGGCAGATCCCGGAGCTGTCTAGAGAGCGTCCTCCGCCTGTGTGGCAGCCTCGCACGCGCTGTCACCGGCAGCCCCTCGGTCTCCTGGGGTCGCGAGGTCTCGCCAGACTTCCTGCAGAGGGTGTGGTGTGAGCCGGCTGCGGCCCGGCCGGGCTCCCTTGTCTGACGCGGGAGACCCACGACGCCGTGTGGCTTTTGTTTCAGCAACAAGTCTGAAACGCTGCCCCTGGCCACTCGGTACAACGTCAAGTGCGTGGGGCTGTCCCCGGACGGCCGCCTCGCCATCATCGTCGATGAAGGTATGGTGCAGGGGGAGAGGACTGTGGAGGCCAGAGCCAAACCCCGGCCCCGGTGGCCCGCTCCGCCGTGGGCCCGTGTCTGCCCTCCCTGTGCTGTGTGCCAGGGCCGCGCTGGGCTGAGGAGGGGCCTGCGGGGCAGGCGGGGGCCCCGGGTGGCCACAGGCTGTCCCCTCTGCCTCCTGCAGGGGGCGACGCGCTGCTGGTCAGCCTGGCCTGCCGGTCCGTGCTGCACCACTTCCACTTCAAGGGCTCCGTGCACAGCGTCTCCTTCTCCCCCGACGGCAGGTAAGCGACTCTGGTCAGAGGCCACCTGCTCGGGCGTGGGGTCAGCGTCCAGCGCTGGTGACCTGGGAGCAGAAAGCCGGGCGTCCGTCCTGCGGGGGACGGGCGACTCCGGAGCCCCGGGTGGAGGGCGTGGGGGCTGTCGTCTGGGGGTGGCCCCCAGAGTGACTGTTCCCGATTCCCTTGCAGGAAGTTTGTCGTCACAAAGGGCAACATAGCTCAGATGTACCACGCCCCTGGGAGGAAGCGAGAGTTCAACGCCTTCGTCCTGGACAAGACCTACTTTGGGCCCTATGACGAGACCACGTGCATCGACTGGACCGATGACTCCAAGTGAGGCCGGGAGGCGCAGGCCCCCTGCCCAGACGTCCTGCCTAGTCTGAGCGCGGCCCTCAGCGTTGGGCTGCTGGGTCCTGGCTGGGCCTGCTCTGCGCTGGAAACCAGAGCGCACGCTCTGGGCTCAGGAGGAGGGACTGGCGGGGGTGACCCTGCTGTGGTCACACGAGAGCCCCTGAGCGTGTGGCCTGCCCCTCCCCAGAGACTGGCCCTGTTCTGGCTTTCTCAGCCCTGCTGCGTCCATCCCGTGGGGCTGTGTGTGGGGATGGGGGGCGGAGGCTGGCAGTGGTGTGTGGCCCCCAGGGCCCTGGCTGCACGCCCCAGGCTGCATTTGGGGGACATGGGAGGAGCCGGGCCCGGTCCTGGTGCCGCAGAAGGGAGCGGGTGTTCTGGGCTGGCCGCGCCCTGGCTCACCGCGCAGGGTGACGCCACCCCTGTGCTCCAGGTGCTTTGTGGTTGGGAGCAGAGACACGTCCACCTGGGTGTTCGGAGCTGAGCGCTGGGACAACCTCATCTACTACGCCCTCGGGGGACACAAGGACGCCATCGTGGCCTGCTTCTTCGAGTCCAACAGCCTGGATGTATGTCTGCTGAGACCCCTGCCCCGGGCTGGCTGCGCTGCCCCTGGGCTCTCGGGGTAACGGTGGCCCTGGCTATCTCTGGGAGGGGCCTTGGGACGGAGCGGACGGAGGACCCACACCCCACCGGTGCTCCCTTGCAGCTGTACTCGCTCAGCCAGGACGGCGTGCTGTGCGTGTGGCACTGTGACACCCCCCCCGAGGGCCTGCGGCTGAAGGCCCCCACGGGCTGGAAGGCAGAGCTGCTGCAGCGGGAGGCAGAGGCAGCCGAGGAGGAGGAGGAGGAGGGGGCCGAGGGGGCGCGGGAGACCACCGTCCGGGGGAAAGCCGCGCCGCCCGAGGAGGAGCGGAAAGGAAAAGTGCAGTACTCGCGGCTGGCCAAGTAGGTCCCGGAGGCGGGCTCTCGAGTGCCGGGCCTGGGGGGCTCCTGCCTCGGGGGACTGAGAACAGGCTTGGGTCTTGGCCCAGATTCCAGAACCTTGGCTGCTGGGGTGTTGAGACCCTGCCCTGCGCCCTGAGGTCCCCGTCCCTGGTGGGGGGGGGGGCAGGGAGACGCTGGCAGCCCTCATGGCCTGGCCAGTGTGAGTGCTGGCTAGTGTGGGTTTGTGGCCTGGCCAGTGTGAGTGCTGGCTGGTGTGGGTTTGTGGCCTGGCCAGCGTGAGTGCTGGCTGGTGCGGGTTTGTGGCCTGGCCGGCGTGAGTGCTGGCTGGTGCGGGTTTGTGGCCTGGCCGGCGTGAGTGCTGGCTGGTGTGGGTTTGTGGCCTGGCCGGCGTGAGTGCTGGCTGGTGTGGGTTTGTGGCCTGGCCGGCGTGAGTGCTGGCTGGTGTGGGTTTGTGGCCTGGCCGGCGTGAGTGCTGGCTGGTGTGGGTTTGTGGCCTGGCCGGCGTGAGTGCTGGCTGGTGTGGGTTTGTGGCCTGGTCAGCCTCTTGGGGAACACTGAGGACCCAGGGGAGGGGCCGCGTGGACCTGCTGGGGTGTGGGCTGCTGCGGCCCCCCCGCCCCGGCTCTCAGGGCCATATTGTGCTGAGCGGGGAGTCGCCTGTGCTTCCTCCAGCCCTGCTCACCTGGGTGGGCTGAATCCCACTCCCCAGGCTCCGTAGCTGCCTGCAGCAGGCCCGTTCCAAGCTGGGCTCAGCCGAGAAGCTGTCCCAGAGTGGGCTGTGGGTGGCTGTGCCTGTCATGGTCTGTCCCAGCCTGGACTCCTGCAGGCAGCAGGGCTGGGTGCCCGTGGTCTGCTGGGCCCTTCCAGCCACTGAGAACACGTCACCTGCCCTTTGTGGCTTCCTCCCATCCGGGGAGAAGGGACGTGGGGTGACAGGCGGCAGTGGGCGTCACCGGCAGTTCTGTCCTGGAGGGTTCTGGGCTTTGGATGAGAGCCTTGCTGGGGAGGGAAGGGGGGGAGTGGGATCCTTCTTGGGCCTGTGGGTGCGGGGGCTCTGCAGAGGGGAGGAGTAGCCAGCGGTCTGATCTCCTGTGGGGAGCCCTGGGAAGCAGCCGTCCCATCTGGAGGAGGTCAGGTTCCGGGAGGGGCTGCCGGCTGAGCTGGAACTGTGGTGAGAGGTTCTGTCTCCAGTCGGTCACTTGTCCGAGGGGCACAGGGGCAGGAGGGGGCAGGGTGCTGCTTTGCTACGAAGGGGACGTGGGAGGGAGGGTGGGGGAGGAGGCGCTGCTGGGGTCACGTCTGTGTGAGTGGGTTCCAGGGGCAGGCAGGAAGGCCCATGGGCTCCTCCCAAGGGCAGGCCCTGCCCTCCCCTCCCCTGCTGCCTGTCCCGCTGCGTGCCCCACCGGCCTCTGGCTCGGGGTCAGCCAGTGAGGGGAGACCCTCTCACAGGCTTCCTGGGTCTGGAGCTTGGGGGTGGGGCAGAGCGTGCAGGTGGCCACGGGCCTGGGCCGGAGGGGAGAGACTGGCCTGGCTCTGTGGCTCTTCCCACCATGCCACCTCCCTGCTAGGTACTTCTTCAATAAAGAGGGAGATTTTAACAACCTGACAGCTGCGGCGTATCACAAGAAGATCCACCTCTTGGTCACTGGCTTTGCTTCTGGAATCTTCCATCTTCATGAGCTCCCAGAGTTCAACCTCATCCACTCCCTGAGGTGCGTCTTCTGCTCACTGGGTGTCTGGGGCGCTGAGGCCTCCATGCTGGGTGGGCGGAGGCTGAGCCGTGCCTGCCTCCTGCAGTGAGGGCTCTGAGGCCGGCAGGAGGCCCAGAGAGAAGCCGGTGGGACGACGACTCCCTGGCCCTGCACTCTGGTGCTGGCAGGGGTTGGGGTCGGGGT